GTTCTGACATTCTTATTAATATTCCATAGGGCAGTAGTTCCTAAATTGTTCGCAGATCTTTTTGGAATACGCCGGAAATAAGCTCGTGATATTCTGCACGTCTTTCCTTAAAAATGTAGTCAATTCCTTTTACATTATTTATGAGCATAATCTGTTTTTACAAGGACTTTGTAAAACGCCGTAAAATTTCTCATCATTGTGTGTGTGTGTTGGGGGGGGGGGCGGACAAAAATACACTGGCTTTAAGAAATTTGAATGTTTATTGACGTCCTCACAACAAGCAACCAACCTGAGCCAGTTTAATACATTCTCTAACTTTGCACCCCATTTATCGAAGATCCATTTGGATATTATCTTTCTATCTGCCCGAAGGTCTACCACGTGACTCCTTTCCTTTAGACTTGTTGATGAAATGTACGCATTTTTCCTATTCACTGTGGGTGCTCCTGTCTGGTTCGTGTTACCTTATTTGATTTTTTAGGTAAAAAATTAAGATAATTATGTAACTTCCTGCAGCCGATTGCTTCACATTGCTTATTCTTAAGTATCTGTACTCTGTTCTCGAAAACCCCTTAATCTTTGTTTCCCCCTCTAAGAGAGAGAGAGAGAGAGATTATGTTCCACGCCGATACAAATAGTTAAAATTGGTCTATAATCTTACAATATAATTTATTTGCGTAGGGCAGACGAGCGATTTCGAACGTAATAGGCATAATATACCGTTTTCCGAATACAATCTGCTTTTACCACGCCACGGAGGTCACGCTGGCCTTGTAATCCTGGGGTCTCGGGTTCGATTCCCGGAGGTGCCCGAATTTATAACTTGTGTTGGGCAAGGCCGTGGTCTAGGCAACACGGAGTTTTCCTCCGTGGCATCCCAACAATTACTCCATTCACACACAGAAGAAGGAAATGGCAAACCACTTCTGGATCATCTGCCAAGAACGTATATGAACAGGTCCCAGTCCGAGAAAAGGATCGAAGGATCCTGTTCATATGGACCTGTCGTCAGACAGAACACTAAATAATAATAATAAAATCTGATTTTAATTTTATGGTGAATGTAACTTTTATTTGTCATCGTTTCTCGTAAAGAACGAATTCAAACATTTGCCAGCAATTTGCCAACGTCGTTGTTCAACACTTCGCAGTGCTCATAATTCCTATACTCACTAGACGATATTCTATACCTGTGACGACATTTATGTTCTGTTACATTAAATGTCAAATTCTTGGATAAAAGTTTATTTATTTTCGCAGCGATTCCATCAAATCTATGACAGTCATTGTAAAATTTTGATTTTTTTTTTCGCTTTAAAGTTTGCCCTTTGGACTTTGCTGCGAGAAACGGTTCCATTTCAGATTAAGGGGCCTTTTTTGTAGTTCCAAGAACTTCGAGAGCCGAAAAGTACTCTGTTTTAACGCAGTTAAAAAAATTTAAGAGCTGAAAGTATAAAATATCAAATCTTGAATCAAAGTTACGTTGTGTAAAAAACGTTCCAACCTCAATGGACTTTATCATGAACGAACCATTTTAGAAAAAATATAAAATTACTATAATGATCTCTGATGTTCCCGTAACAATTTAGTCTATTGTGAAAATAATCAGTTTTGAATACAAGTATTAATTTATAATTTTAAAGGTCCCCTAACTGGAAACTTGATACACGTATTACATATTTAGAATCGCTGTCAGTTTATTTTTGCTGTGGATGTATTTATTCATCATTTTAGTAGAGGCCACAATAAAAATCAGTAATTTATCCATAACCATTACTCTTCACAATATTCGTGCGCACTCTGGGAGTAATTACATGAGTCCATTTCTACTATTTGTTACACGTTTCTTATCGTTTTTTAAATCGGTGTAGTATGCCAGAGCATGCAAATAGTCGTCTTTGGAAAAGTCTCGTGCTTTATTTAATGAAAGTGATAATTTATTCTGAATCCTATTTATTAAAATATCTTCACTTCAGTTTTCAGTATTGCTAGATATGTAACTGACTGTTTATATAAGCTTAGAACTTGGTATGAAACTTACCTGATGCAAACACCACAGTGAATCCAATTCTATGTGGCATTTTTTACTTAAGCACAAACCATTATTCTGTAGCCAATTTATTCCTTTTATTTACGAATAAAAACATTGATAAAATCACACACGAACGTTTTCCTTTTCTGTTTATTTCGTAAGCTCACAGTTTTAACACACAGAACTGCGTATTATATTTTAATCCATCAAAATTGTTGGTTTTCCAGAGAATTTACTCTGCCTTTCCCCCTAAAAGGTCGACTACACTGCAGAGCGACATAGAATTTTACACCAGAGAACATTGCGCCTTGGACTGTATTGACTGTACAGCCAGCCCAAATTATGTGATCCCCTGTACCAGAACCTCTTATTCGTGTTTGTCAGTGGAAGGTAGTAAATTACACCTAAAATAAACACTTTGTCTCGGTGTTTCGTTCATTTCCGTGGATTTCAAAGCATGCACTGAAAATTTTAGCTTTGTATTTTAAATTCTAGAGATAATTTGGTTCCCAGAAGACAATTTTATCTGTAAGTGACGGTACTGGGGATCAATAATGAGACGGCTCTTTGTAGCTTCCGATCCATCATGTGCTGTGGCGCCACTGGAGGGGACAAGACGTATCAAATCCACTCTTTCATCCCTTGCTCGTGGCTGAAAGGGACACATGAAACGTAAAACACAGCTCATCCTTTCTCTGGTCGTAGATATTTGTTAATGCCAGCAGTTATGCATGTGAGCATGAGCTGTATTTTACGAATGCCAAATTGAATTGGAAAATAATTTAATTAACTGTTGATATAAAATGTACTATTTTATACGAAGCATTGTACGAAACTATTAGAAGAAGCATAATTAATTACAGTTTTCTGTTCTTTGTTAGAGATATAAAAGTGAAACTCTGGTACGACAAAAATGCAATACAATCGAGGAGCCAGGTAGGCCATTTATGATTCAAGAAATACGAATACATAGTAGTCATTAAAGATTTAAATATATGTATGAAGGAAGAGTATGGTAACCAAATACAGATGTTTACTGAAATGAAGGAGTTCAACAAATTTCAGAAACTGTATACAATATTTAAATCATTATGTCTGTACAGTTAGTTATATTGAAATAAGTTCTGATTTCCCCGGTATTATGAATCACCAGATAATGATATAATTTCAGCAAATCAAGGTTAAGAGATTAACAATCCGTTTATTCAACACAAATGGAAATAGCCTATTATTTTACCTACTTGGAAGACATAAATAAAAACTGATTAGTAATTTCGAATTAATCTGATTTTAGTTGTGACCATGTTGATGTTTGAAAATCCCGCAAGGAATTACTGCCAACGTTCGAAACGGAGGTTGTTGGCACTGTTCCACTCATAAATTACTTTCTTTTGTCATTCCAGAGTGGAACAGTATGAGAAATGACGAGTTTTAATCTGGAAAGATTAATTACTAATTATTACGTTATGTATGGTGTGTTATTTCTGTGACAAGCCAACTTATTATTATAACAATTTCTGAGGTGGCCGAATAAGTGCTGTCATTCTATACATCGATTGATAGGTTAAGTTCTTGATAACTTAATGTATCCATTAAAAACGGTTATATTTTTCATTTAGAATCACAAAAAATGCCGTTAGAGAGTCTGCTGTGATTAAAATGCTAGTTGCATGTGCTTTTGTTTCATGTTTTGTAATATAATATAAAAAATACTGTGTTGCTATTGTAGTGCCAGTGTTGATGTGTTGTACGTATATGAATAGTTTAATTACATTTGTCTCATTATACGCAGATAGTCTCATATTAAATTCCGTTGTAATGTTTTCTTTGTAGGGCTCTTTCCTTAGAAGTCATTACTGCAGCAAAGGATGGGGAAGACAACTCGTGTTCTTATATGTGGACTGAAAGGGGTTGGGAAGACAGCTGTACTGGAGCAGCTTATATATGGCAACATTACCAAGAATACGGTATGAGATTTATTCTTCTAGTACCTAAGTATATTTTGTATTGTGTGACAATACAGAATGTTTCAGTTTTGTTTATTTGCCCTTTTTGTTTTCCAGAGTGTAAAACCCATGGCCTGACTAAAATTTAATTTTGCTGTAACTCTAGAGAATTGTACATTTGATCATATAGAATTTTTAAAGAAAATTTTTGTTACTTTTTTGTAGTTTGTGGTCTATGTTGATTAGAATAGGAAAGCTCCCACAAAAAAGAAAAGATCTGCTCTTCATATTATTCAAACATTTGTTTTCTTCTTGTAGGAATTACACTCAACGATAGAAGACATTTATGTTGCAAGTATAGAAACAGATAGAGGAGCAAGAGAAAAGGTTCGTTTTTATGACACAGCAGGCCTAGATGGTGGGCGAGAACAGAATCAGTTGGCCCGTCAGTATCTTGGTTTGACTGATGGCTATGTCCTGGTGTATGACCCTGATCGACCAGAATCACTAGATGCACTTGTGATGGCCAAGAAGGATATTGACCATAACAGGGACAAGAAAGAGGTACTTGAAAATAATTACAGTGAACTATCTTATTTGTCTCAGAAGTATAAAATTAAAAATTAGTGCAGTATTCTCTTTTTCTAAGAGCTTTTATTGCATGTCAGAATTTACTATACTACACCTCTGCTGTGGCATATGGTTGTTTAATATTTTGAATCTCATTCTTATGTACTACCGCTTCTGGTGGTGCCCCTGAGTGTTGCTGAATGAACTTGCCACTGTCCCATGGGCCATAAGGTGCTGACCTCTAGGTTCTTTCTCAACATCTGCCACCCCTTGGGTAGGAATCAGCATAAGAGAATTCTGACAAATGCTCTTATGAAAATGGTATCCGTGTATAATTCAATTATAAATAATGTAATAAAATACATCTGACACTCC